TACCGGATGAAACTGAGAATGATTCGGTAGCGAGCAAAAATTATCAGGTGTCCCAGAAATAATAATAACAGCTGTAATCGGTTTTCATAACCCGGCCGGGTTAAAATTTACAAAACTCTAAAAAAAAATTTCAAGTATACTTGAGTTTTTTTTATCTATAAAAAATTTTTTATGTTTTTTTTATATAAAATTTTTTGAAAATAAAATTAAAAGCCGGGTTATCGGGTCACTTTTTAAAACTTTATGTTATGAAAACCGATTTATTAAGTTTGTATGGCCTTATATATTATAAATTTTATAATAAAAAATTATACTTAGTTGTTCTAAATCAATGGATCGGAGTTCAATTTTTAATTAGTAAAAAAATTTAGCCGATCAAGTGTTCTTCACAATGAAAAAAAAGATGGTCGCGACCATCTTTTTTTTTTCATAGAGTTGCATTGATTGGCTAAAATTTAAAATCCGCATTTTCGCAATTGCTATCGTATAACGTAATACTTGTGCACGATCTCGATCACTATCCAATCACATTGAGGAAGTTGCTTGAGAATATCTTTAATCTTAAAATACTTATACGTATATCAATGAATTTTAAACCAATCTTAATAATTTTACTATTGTTAGAATCATGAAAACCTATTCTACAACTTTATTTAGAAGCTTAAAACTAGTTTAATTAGTAAAATCTTTTGTAATTTTAAAATATAAAAAAAGATACTATCAAGTTTATTAAATTTAGCCTCTACTCTTAAAATATACATAGTTAATATTGTTTTTAAAAAAATTAGATTTAATAAAAGTAGTGTTAGGATCGTCTAATTCAAATATTTAAGGTCATACAAAGCTAAATTACTTAATACGTAGTTCTTATCTGTTATACATAGGGTTGTTATAACTTACCTGAAACGTAACTTACAATGTAACAGGTAACTGGTAAGTTACATTGCAAGTTCAGAAGTTACGTTACCTGTGTAAGTTAAGATTAAAGCGAGCCAGCATTAAGAAATATGGCTGGCATTAAAGTCAAGAGACCAGAAGCTAGAAAGACTCCAACATTAAGAAATATGGCTGGCATTAAAGTCAAGAAGCCAAAAGCTAGAAGACTCTGAAAAGATCCGATGTAAAATGTTAATGAACACAAAAGACGAGCAAAGTTTTAAAAAATTTGCGAAGAGTACTCTGAAAGATTTAAAAAAATTTGCGAAGAGTACTCCGAAAGATTCCGAAGAAGGAAAAAAGGGTAACGTCAGTTAAAAGTAAACTTTACATAAGTTTCAAAAATTTTTGTAAGTTATAACAACCCTAGTTATAGAGTAACCCTAGTGAGTCTTTGAAAAAGGCCCGCTTATTATGTATAAAAAAGCGGAAATTTAAAATAAGTTCTATTTCTTTATGAGAAGTGCATTATACTAAATGTATTGATATGTAGAATTATACTCTAGTAATGTTGCCAGATGATTACAATTTAGGCAAGATTTTTTAATGTTGGCCATTTTCTGAATGTTTGTAATTTTATATATGCTTATTATTCACGCACGCATTATGCCCGCACAAACGGCACAATACTAAATTTCCGCACAGAAATACCTTTCGTACCAATATTACCAATATTTAAGAGGGGTACGTACAATCACTGTACAAGTGTATTTTAAACTGTAACGTTGGGTAATACCAAGTAAAGATATTTTACCTTCTCTCTTCTCTGCTTGTGTGACTTATATTCATCACCTTTTTCCAACGTTGCACTTCGCCATCTTCCCTCCCCTTTTCAGTATATGCTTTATATTTAAAATAAAATATTGTAAATCACACAAGAAATTTTGGTAATTTCCGCCTTTTCAATTTCCGCACACTGGCTTCGACGACTTTTTACTCGATATTATAGAGTCAACTGGCTAAGGCGTCAGCTATAATTCAAGCTAAACACATTTTCCCTCTTTTATAATAATTGTGTTAACTTTCTTTTGTAAGCGGATATACCCACCAGGCATACTGTACTAATGGATCAAGTTAGCCCGTCAAAAATGGACGGGCAACCTCCTTCCAATGAACAAAAGGAAACTAGGGTTAGTGAAAATTAACAAAAGATTGCTTAGGCTTGTTTACTTTTTTACTTGCTTCGTTTCCAGTTTTTTTTTTTTTTTTTTGTGCTCATTTGCACTTAAGTTCGTTACATAAGGCTACTAACGTCTAATAAGAAATAATCACTACTTTTAATGTTTACTATTTTTTATTTAATTTAATTTTAAAGTAAAATTACGAAATAATTTTGATTAAAAACAAGTACTAAAAAATATATTTTTATTACATATATTATTAGTTGGTGGATAGTGAACATACTTCTCTAAAAGCTCAACTGGAACAAATGTTTGCACCTTTCGATAAATCTGGCCTTGGAAGAATTGCTTCTAAAGACCTTTTCAAGATAATTGAGGCTTTTGAATCTGAACAAAAAACTACTCTATTGAAAGATGAAGGACGACTCACTCTTCAAATGTTCTGTGAACAAAATCCTGATATGGAAGTTTCTGTTGAAGATGTTCTTCAACTAGTGACTAGGCTTCAAGCTCCTCCACTAACCTCTAATGCTGTTTCGGAACAGCCAACCAGAAATAGTAAGATCAAATTAGGTTCTATACGATCTGCTTGGCGTCCTTCACCACGTACTCATAAAAGTAGAGAAGGCTTATCATCAGCTTCTACTGAAATAGATGTGAGTTTTTTTTTTTTTTTATTAAGTTTTAAATGAATATTTTATATATTATTCATTATAATAAATTTATATTATTTATATTGGGAAGGGGGAAGAATCGTATGGCTTTTCGAGTATTAATGCGACTACTCGTTCCAAAAGAATGTCATCATATGATTCTCCCAGCGGCGTGCTGGGTCATAGTTTCTCAAGATTACATTATGATACATCCGAAGATCATGAAATGTCATTCGAGGGAAGTGGCGGATTTGATGAGACGGTTTCTCAACTAATACCTGTAAGAAATATATATATATATATCTCTCTTTATATTATATTATTTTGTATTTATATTATTTTTAATTAATCAATTCGTTCGTCCGTCAATAGACGAACGATGATCCTGCTGTCCAACTCAGCAGACTATACCGTCACACTGTTGATCTTACGAAACGACTTAAAGAGTCAGAACGCCATTTAGCTTCAGTTGCTCGTCAACACGAGGACCGTATTGAAGAACTTCAGCATAAGCTAGAAGATACAAAGGCGGATCTCGCGCAAAAAAAACGTGAAATTCAAGACCACAAAAATAAAGAGAAAACAAATTTACATCAAATTTCTGCAGTATGATTTATGATTATTATTATTTATATTTGCATATATATATATATATATATGTATATGTATATGTATTTCATTTATATATCTAATTTAATAAGCTATATTTCAGCTTGAAGGTGAAATTCAGATAATAGCGAAGAATTTATCTGGTCAAATGCAATTATATCATCAATTAAAAAGACAATACGAAGAACAACGCGGTACTTAAAATGGTGAATGTTACGTTATTTTTATGTATCGTTTAATAACTTTTTTAATACATAAATTTACAGAGGAGGCGGAGAAACTCAAAGATCTTGTAAAGATCAAAGAGGAGGAATTACTTAATACACAACGAAATCTCAATGTCATGTCATCCGAAGAAAAAAAAGTATATAATTTATTAATTTAGTTATTCATTTAAAGTAATTTTAGTAAATTATCCTTATTCATAGTGGTACGATGAACGTGAGCGTTTGGAACATGCATATCGTAAATTGGAGCAAGATATGGCATCTGCGCAAGCTTCAGAAATTGAACTTGAAGAGCAAAGAAATGAAAATATGCATCTTAAAGAGACAATTGACAAATTGAAACTTGATTTGGATGAAATACGGAGCGGAAGAGTTATTAACAATAAAAAATATCCTTTATATTTTTATTTGTATTTATAGAATGAAAAAAAAACAAGAAATTTCTTTATATTTCCTTAATAAAAGCTTACTGAATTTGATGAGGACGAAGTTGGTTCTGGAAAGGTATTCTAATATTAAAAATTATTTTATTTTATTCATTTTCAAAATAATTAACGAAAATTTCTTAGAATTTGCGTGCTGAATTGCATGACATTGCTCTTGCTTCAATATCCGAAGAACAACAACAAGGTTCTGATTCAAACACAGATGAACTTAGACGATCAAACAAGGTAAGTGTTCTTCGGTTTCTATTAATTTAATATATTTATATTTATATTTTTATATTACCAAGGAACCTCGACAACGTAAATCTAATGACGATGAATCTTCATACTCGCGACCCGGTGAAATGGAGAAATACAGAGGCGCCGATGATCACGTTCGAAGACCAAACAATCAAAGATCAGTTCGCCGACAAGTAACAGATGCAAACAATTCTCCACGTAATTCTACGGGCGGTAGAGATGTTGAATCACAATATCAAATACTATCATCTGAACTTGGTGTACAATATGCCCTGATTGAAGGGATTTTAAGGAATCGAGATTTACCTTCTCCACACGACAGGCGAGATCGACAGATACGTAACAGTATGGATGGTGATAGTGCAGATTTAACAAGAAGATTATCGCGTCAAGGGTCTCGCAAAAATAGACGGAAAGGTTAGTTGAAAACTTCGTCAAAATCTGAAATATGCATGCATATTTATAATAATATCCTATTAAAATTATATTAGCGAATCATGTGTCAGAAATTGAGGTAAAATTTTCATTTTATTAAATGTTGGTTTCAAATTTATTATATTTAATTGTTATGTATTTATAATTATAGTTGCAACCTTCAGAAAGAACTGATAATCAAAATGCTCAAGCATCCAGAGCACTTGTCCCACGAAATAATGATATGAACGTCGCTCAACGTAATGCCATGGTCAACAATACTGTGACCATTGCATTATATACCTTAGTTATCTACTTTTTCGGTATCATTACATCTGTGTTTGTTCTCGATAATAACACAGGTCAAAGCCCTTATAGTGATTGGTTACCTTATGAAGTTGTTAAGGATGAAAGTTGGACTGCACGTTCAATGGAAATCATTTTATATTGGGTTGAAAACCTACTAAACGATGGAAATATGCGAGTTCCTACGTAATTAGAGTTGAACTGGATTTTAGTTCTTGAATAATTATTAAACGTTCAAATCGTACTTTAGATTTGTTTAACTTTTGATATGCACTTTCTTAATTTTATTGAGCTACCTGCACTTTTCGTGTTCGTAATTTCTTTGTATTATAATTGGTTGCATTTGTTCGTTATTGTTATTTACTTTATTTACTTCATCCCTTGTTTGTTTTTTGAAAATGCACGCTATCATTTTAAATTTTGGGTTATAAATATTGGAATTTTATATTTAGAATTATCATGGCTTAAATGGCAAAGATTGATTATATATGCATAAAAAAAAAAAAAAAAAAAAGAGAAAAAATATTCAAAAAATGCATTTTGAACTTGG